CACTGGAAAAAGGAGTATGATAAAATGTAAGGGCTTGTGTGAGTAACCGTAATGAACAGTAACTGATTATCGACTCAATAAAGTGATACTCAAAAGCATTTATTATCCGTAACGTTAGCTAGTTTGCGACTTAGTCTAACCTTAGCTACAGAGTTTGATAAAAACGTGCAGAGAGGCTGAAACCTCGTTATGCTGCAGTGGATAGATTTTATATCTTCAACAACACAAACTACAACGTGATTTGTTGACTTGAAACCTCCTGAATCGATGCAGGAAGAAGCTGCTAATGTTAGCCTGATAGCGAGACCTGATCCGAGACAGGCTTTCACAGATTTAGACTTTTTTTTAAAATTAAGATTGTAACCCCACGAATGAATGTAGTCGACTCGTTTTTATGAGCTCGTTGGTTTTGGAAGCAACATTTAGCTTAAAGTACAACGCCAGCTAGCCAGACATGCTAACGGTTACAGTTTATGAACACGTCTTCACCATGTTGAAAAATATAAAGTTTGTTCAACCAATCACGCTAAATCAGGGTTTTCAAGGCTATGAATGGATAACTGTCGTTGGGGGAGGGGTTTAGCAAAGGGTCAACTCTAACCACATTCCTAATATTTACATGGTAGCCATTTTTCTGAGAGTTCACACTAATCTTGGGAAGCTCAGACGCCATTATTGCTTCAGTTGTTTCTCTGTGTTTAAAGTTTTCACAGTTATAAACAAAGGGAATCTGCTAACGGCTATTGTTGCTTTGAATTAGCCGAATACTAACATTAGCTATTAGGTTAATGTGTTTGTCAGATTCTTCACGTTTATACAACTTGTAGATCTTAAACACCAATAAGACATCATGTCAGCATCCCGCTCTTTGCATTACTTTGAAAGAAGAATGGCCGCCGTGTGAAAATGCCCAATATGGCTGCCAAAACCAGCAAACACGCCGGTACACCTCAGCACTGTTCTGGTCTCAAAGCAACACGTCTTCCACCGAAGCAGCGAGGACTCACAGCAGCACTGTGACCGAAGGTGACTCGCGCTCGCCTCGGGTTAACGCTCAGATTTCCGCTCTGTCAGTGTTTTCTGTTCTCTCTCTGCGTGTTATTCTCAGCATGTTTGTGTGTCTCTGTCCCTCTAAGTGACCTGTGTTAGACATTAACGAAGCCTTCTCTGCCTAAAACCTAAGTGACTGAACTTACCTGTTGAAGGTGTGTGTATTCTGTGGTGTATCCGTGTGTGTGTGTGTGTGTGTGTGTGTGTAACATAGAAGAGTCCTCGACACTGTGGACATCAGTCGATTGATGTACTGTAACAACATCCTGTCCTGCTTCAGCTGCTGTTTCTGACTGAAGAAAGAACTGTCCACCAAACTGAACCTCACACCTCACTGTCAGTCAGAGCTTTTCTTTTTTTAGTCAATAAATGATCAAAATAAATCCTCACACGACTTGGTTCATTTTGTCTGTTTGACATGAAATATAGGACCCTGTGTCCACCTAGTGTTTTTTGGGCATAAAAAAGTTCTGACTCTGCATGAAGCGTTTGTGCACTAAGAAGAAAAAGCGTCCTGTCTCTATGACAACAGTCTGTTGACAACGGCCGCTGTATGACCCACACTGCTCCGTTACTTTTTACTGCATGTTTGATATTTGAGATCATTTATTTCCAGATCAGACACGGAGCGAGGAGGATGTGGGTAGAAGACACGATCTGTAGGTGACAAAAAAAGCCGCTGGGGGCTGTGCCTTTTCTCTAGACGGCCGATTTCTGCTGAGAAGGCTCTCCTCATTAAAAACGATTGAAAAAAGACAATGGCGCTCAGATGAAAAAACGCCAGGTGGACACAGCGCCTTGGAGAGGGCCCAGTTGTTCAAAATTCTCAGATTGGATAAAAAACTTAAATTGGGTTGTTTAAAAGAAAAATTTATTTCCAACTTTGAGAAGATCTGGTATCAAATTTTCAGGATATGAGATGTTAATTAATTTTCTTCCAGGGTCGGGTCGGGGTGGCAGCAGGTCGCCCCAGACTTCCATACCCAGCGACGCTCTCCAGCTCCTCCTGGGGGATCCCAAGACCAGAAGGGATATACAATCCGTCCAATAAACTGGAGGTCTATCCCAGGGATCTACAGGGTGGACGGAGCGGAAACGCTCTCCATTTACCAGTCGACCTACGATCCAACCCTCGCCTGCTGTGCTCATGAGCCTTTGGGTGGAGATGCAACGTTCGTGCACAAACAGTTTATTGTTTTGAATTGAATTTTAGAAAAGAAAAGAAGCCAGCTGACTTCAGAGCGTAAGAAGCGAGTGACCAGAACATTCATTGAAATGTAGAGGAGTCAAAAGTAAGTTTCCCCCCAAAAATAATACTCAAGTAAAGAACAGATACTCAAAATAATACTCGCGCAAATTGACTTTGTTTACACTTAACATCTCGGCTCCACCAGCCGATCTCTAACTGCATGGACTCTGGCTCCAAATGAAATGGCTGTGTTGAAACACGTCGGTGCCCGTCATGGGGGGATTTTGGCTTCACTTTACAACAGGATGAGCTGGAGATGCGTTGTCCATCTTTATATACATCCTTTGAATAAACAGTAAAATACACTCTTTGTAAACATCCTCCTCTTTCTCTCCTCGCCTCAGACCTTTTCCTCCAGCTCCTCCCACCTCCACATGATTGACACTTGTCCATCACAGCGGTCCTCCTCCCCCTCCTCCCCCCACTCATATTAAAGGATCATTGCCCCCTTTCTGCGGCCCCAGTTTGTCCCACCTGATCCCTGAACCCCGACGCAGGAGGATGGACTGCAGTACATACGGTAAGACGACGATTTCTCCGTCTCCTCTGTGTTTTATTTCACATTCTAATTGGCTGTTTTTTTATTAACTTTGACTCCATGTTGAGAATTTGAAGCAGAATCTGTGTGGACTCTCTTTATGTCAGTATCTGATGAAGTTAAACATTTCAGAGTGTTTGTTTTTGTTTTTGTCATCCTATAAACATATATTTAATGATTTATTCACAGCTGTAATCACACATAATGATTAAAACACAAAATATTATCCTTAAACTTTGATGTTACACTCGTGCAAATCCTTTAAATGCATTCTAAGACTTTAATGGTGCACGATCTGTTGAACTTGGAAATGAAAAGGTCGACTTGTTGGATCTGGCAGAGCGTCTGGACGTATTTTTACAGCCTTTGTTTCTGGTCGAGTCGTCTCAGGTCCCACAGTGGTCAGAAATCCTTCAAAACACAAATGTCATAACAAACAGATTTACATGATAAAGGAAAGATAAAAGAGCAAGCATTTGAAAAGAAAATCTAAGCTGTTAGTTTGTAACAAATCACAGACGGTTATAAAACAGGAAGATAAACTGAATCATAACTTCTATTTAACACACCAGCAGAGGGGACAGATTCAAACAGTACCTGTAGAAAACGAGAGGACACTTTGGACTTCTCTGTTTCACATACGGAAACTGGAGGGGAATCCTTCAATATCATGGTGAAGACGAAGACTCCTAAATATTAAGAGTCGCTTCAAGTGACAAAATTCAGGACATTTTCCCCTCAAAGTTCAGACTAGATCCGTGTAAAGTTATTCACGAAGCTTCTTGAGAGCTCCTCAGGTGGGAAACTGTGAAGAGGACTTTTAACAGGAAGAAGAGTTTCTCAAGCTGAGGAGAAAACGGAGAAATGTTCTTCAGACACTCGATATTATTGATGATGATGATGGTAATGAAGATGGCTTTTGTTTGATAGCGATGACTTTAAGGATATCTTCTATACTGATTAGAGCAGGGGTGGGCAACTAGCGGCCCATCAACCCTCAACCTGGCCCTCAGGTCTATTTTTACATATCAATTAATTGGAAACATGAAAAAAAACATGACAAAATCTGCCATGAAATCATGAAAACCAGAAATATGTCCATGATAATATTTGATCACTGGTATATGTTGAGTTAAATTTGAGACATAATTGACTGTAATCGTTTTTGTTCACTACAATTTGGCCCTCTGGCAGTGAGAACTAAATGAATGTGGCCCTTGCTGTGACCAAAGTTGCCCATCCCTGGATTAGAGCTCTCAAGAACTGCCATCGATGTTGTGCTTTGCCTCTGGTCACTTCCTGTCAGCACCTGTGTGTCCAATCAGACTCAAAGCTGATCGTTTGCTCTTACTGACATTATTTCCATTTTTCTAGATCATTGCTTGTGTTGTACTTACTCTCTGATGTCAAATGGTCATTGCAGAGGAATGGCGAAAACATTGTTGGTGACTTGGAGTGCACGAGTACTCCAGTGCGTTTTGCATTTTCATGTGGACGAAGATGTTTTTGAGTACTTCGACTTTTTTAAATGGAGGAGGAAAACCTCTGTTTAAAAAAATTCCTCTCTACGTGTTAACTAGGCAGTGATTTACTTCTTTCTAAATTTTTTGGATCAGCTTCTGAAAAAATGGGTCGACCACGCCTCCTCACTAAGATGAAAGTTTTAGTCTCAGAGTCGCTCTGAGAATGTTCCTAAATCACTCCTAAGATAAAACCCTTGCCGCTCTCTGAGAGGATTCTCAGAACATTTGTGAGTATGTGCTTGTCTGACAGCAACTTATCTGTTCCTGTTGTCTCAGAGATGGACCCGCTGGAGGTCCCTCCTCTCACCCCAACCAGTAAGGAGGTCCTCAGCCAGGCGCTGAAGGCGTCTTTCTCTGGATTCTCTCAGGAGAGGATCAATCATCACTTCCCTCAAGGTGAACGGCAGAATATGAGTTTATCAATCAGAGCTTTGTTTCTACATGAGCTCTGGATTTATCTGTTTCTGTGTCTGTGCAGACGTCACCCTGTGGTCTGAGTGGGAGGTGAACTTCTGGTTGGACTGGTGCCAGGCTGAATTCGGCCTCACCTGTCTGGGGTCAGACCTGAGGGGCCTGCAGGGGGCGGAGCTCTGCGGCCTGGACAGAGAGGCTTTCCTGAACCTGATGTCAGACTGCACGGCCGGCGAGATCCTGTGGGAGCATCTGGAGGACATGAGGAGAGGTGAAACACTCATTCCTACTCGTCTAAAATATTTGGTATGTACCGGGGCTAGTCTGACTGTAAACAAAGACAACGCTGGGAAAATGAATACATGGCCGTTAGCCATTTAGACGGAGCACTGAGGGAATGCTACTTTCAAAATTATGCTAGTTTTAGAAAATGACCAACCCTGCCTTTAAGCCTTCATGCTTTAAAAAAACTTGATATATGGCCCAATGGCCCTCCAGAGTTTCACTATCTGTTGTCTGGGAATGTGTACGGAAGCCCGAAGCGGACGTGCACCCACCAGTTTTATTTATTGCATTTTCAGCTGATAACAAGTAATCTCCGGTTTGTCATTTTTTTTGGTATTGCATAACTGGTTTTCACATTATAACAGAAACATTTATGGCGATTTCTCACGATAACTACGTTTTTTCTAATGTGGTAAATGGAGAATTTTCTGGCGATCTAGAACACAAAACAATTTTCTGGTCACTCTGATTGTGTTTTAGTACTCCAGACCTTTTTTTGACCACCACTGATCGGCTGTTTTTTCACGTCATTACTGTGATTAGAAGGAAAATGCCTCTTTCTATAATAAATAATATTTTTTATTCATTTGTTGTTTGATTTTTATCCTCTGGTTACGGCCTAAGTGAGTGACACGCCCCCTAAACACAAGATGTTGATTTATCAGAGATAAACCCTAACCCCTAACCCTGGTCTCAGTCTCGGTATTGGTCTTGTCTCGGTCTAGGTTTTGGTCCCGGTTACTGTGGTCTTGACTACAACAGTACACTGTAAATGTCCAGATCACAACTATTAGCTCTATGTTTGTTTTAAGCTTTTGCTACTCTGAAGAAATAAATGTATGTATGGATGCGTGTGTGTAAAACTCTACTCTGATGTAAATATCTTTTCATTTGAATTCTCCAGAGAACGAATACGACTGCAGCTCGACTTTAACCATGTGCACATTATCGTCTTACTGCCAGCTGCAAACAAACAAAGGTAAGAATGTTGTAACACGTCTTCTCTTTACTTTGTCGTAGCGATCATAATTCCACGCTTTCCCATGTGATTCATCGTCCGCCTTTCCTCAGAAAACTTCTCCGACTACGTTCACGATCATCCAGACAAACACGCTTATCATGCTCAGTACCATCACGCCGAGCGGACGGAGTTGCACGCTCTGGACTCTGTGAGCGTCCAACATCAGGATTATTATCTCCTCAAATCTGAAGACCCGACGAGCAGCCTGAACGCAGATCTGCTGCTCGAAGCAGGAGGTGAAAAACTGTTCACGTTTCAATGTGCCAATATGCTGGCTGAGAATGATCCGTTAGAGGTGATTTTATAGATCTGTCATTAAATTCTGCTTTGCTTGTTTCTGCTCATTTTGTACTTTCAAACTGTTCTTTAAATGGTTTCTGCTTTAACCTCGTCCACGTAGCCGAGAGACAATTAATAAATCTGTTTTTAAAATATTGATTATTTACTTTTGTAGGAATGTTGCCTTTTTGGGGAATGCAGCAGAAATTAACCTGAGGAAGTTTTTTGTGCTCATCAGAGGGTTTTATTTAACTTCAGCTTGTTTTATTCACAGAAATTATTTCAGGCATCTTAAAATCTGTCAGCTTGGGAAGAGCAAAAAACGCTCCTTTCCTGATTTTAGTTCCCCTTCAAGAAGCACGATATCGGATAAAAATGTGTTTGCAGCAGTATTTCTTAAAGCAACAAATAAACCTACTTCATGTTCTTCTAATCCAAATGATAAATGAAAACAGATTTTTGATGGGAAACTCTTTAAGAAACTGGTGCAAAAGACTGTAAAGAAACCAATATGGCTGCCAGAATTTGTGTTTTGTGTTTTTCCCTCCTCGTAGAGACGGACTCAGAGGTGGAGATTTCTCACAGTGACGACTCCGACATCATGGGCTCTCTGTCGTGGACAGCTCCACTCCGGGAAATTGATCCTATGACGGAGGAGAACATGTCGGAAGGCGTCTTCGTTTTGCCACAGACACACCGGAGCTTCAAAGAATACGTCGGAAACAAAACCGACCTCGGCCGAGCCGTGATCCCAGCAGCCATCCTCGCTGGGTACACAGGTGAGTAGAAAACGTTTTTTAATAGATTCATGTTAGTTTGAAATCTTTACATCTTCTCCATGTTTGAACAGGAAGTGGTCCAATCCAGCTGTGGCAGTTTCTCCTGGAGCTCCTCACAGATCGGAGCTGTCAGTCGTGTATCAGCTGGACGGGAGACGGCTGGGAGTTCAAGCTGACCGACCCCGATGAGGTACTTTGATTGAGGCCACGTTAACATGAAAACAATCCACAAAAAACTGAATCATTTTTCACACACCGCTTTATTAAAGTTCTGTGTTTAGACAACAACCGCTGTGTACACAGATCTGTGAAAATGACTTATAACACTGCAGTAAACATGCCAGGCCATTAGGTGGCGCTGTGACTATTGAAACAACAAGGACATGTGCAGAGGCTCGTCCTTCAGAGCGCTGAGGTGTAAACATGCAAAACCAGCTAACGCACAAATGTTTGTGTGGATAGACGACGAGGTGGGGTTTTTACTCTGAGTGACCCTGAACTACAAAGATGGCGACTGGGAGTCATGACAGACCTCAGGAGTCTGCCATTGTTGTTGTAGTCCCACTACTCACTCATGGCTATTTACTGGAAGCGTACTGAGCATGTGCGAGAAGTCTCTATTTTCAGAGAAACTGCATATCGTCGGTTTACACGATGAAGGAGACGGTGGCATCCATGAGTGCAAAAGTTTGCACTGATGATACACGTTGATCTTTTTTGTGTAAACATTTGGTAATAGAACCAAATAATAATAGTAATAGAAATAATAGGTCGTCTGTAGCTACTGTTTTTGACCCGTTCAATAAAGCCTGATGTTTGCCTTCAGGTGGCACTGCTGTGGGGTCGCAGGAAGAACAAACCCAAGATGAACTACGAGAAGCTGAGTCGAGGTCTGAGATATTACTACGACAAAAACATAATCCGAAAGACAGCCGGAAAGCGCTACGTGTACCGCTTCGTCTGCAACCTGCAAGGCCTGCTGGGATACGAGCCCGGGGAGCTGCATGCCATGTTGGACATCTGCAACAACAGTCAGTGATGATGTCATCAAAAAAGAGACAATTTTTTATACAAGATACTTTTGTATGAGTTTATTAATGAGAACTGCCTGAGGCTCTGAGTGTGTGTGTGTGTGTGTGTGTGTGTGTGTGTGTGTGTGTGTGTGTGTGTGTGTGTGTGTGTGTGTGTGTGTGCGTGTGTGTGTGTGCTTTTGTGTGTGTGTGTGTGTGTGTGTTTTGTAGCACTTTATCTTGTTGTTTCAATAAAACAATAAAACAAACAGCATATAAGCAAACATATGTCATTTATTAGGATTGAAGTCTTTTGGATGGGAAAACTAACGTTGTTATCCCGAGATAAATATGTCGAGATCTTGAGTGAACAATCGAAACTCATGATGACCTAGTTAAAAAGATTATCCCCCTACAGTGTGTACAAATAAAGAAATGATCTATAGAGAAAAATGCTTCTTTGTACCAGGCTGTAAACATGTTTAGTCCAGCTGTAAAGTTGAACATTTTAACATGGGGCTCTATGGGGATTGACTCACTTTGGGAGCCAGCTTCTAGTGGATATTAGAGGAACTGCAGTTTTTGGCAATTCCACATTGGATTCCTTTTTTTTTTCCACCACTGCTGGGTGCTGCTTGGTATGTACACAGATATTTGTTTTAGTTTGTTTTTACATACTTCTGGGTTTAAATGACAAATGAGTACAAAAAGTTTTTGAATGGTTTTTGTTTTTATACAAAAGAAATATGTTCAGAAAAATAAAACCCTGTGTTCCCTCAGCCCCATGTTCCCTCAGCCCTTTGTTCCCTCACCCCTGTGTTCCCTCAGCATTACTGAAGCAAATAATACAAGGTCTCATATCCAAAACACAAAATATGACGGGGGGGGGGGGGGGGGGGGGGGGGGGTTTGAGGGGGGTGCAACAACACGTTATGTACATTATAAGGGCCAGCCCTGATTCTGGGGGAATGTAGGCCTTAGGAAACACCGGGCCTAATTTGGGGAACATCGGGATGACCCCTGAACATGCTAAGCAAAAGGCGTACTGATACATAACACCAACAACATTTAGATCAATGTAAGGTCTCTTCTTTTCACTTTGGACACCTGCTGAGCTTCTTCATGATGGCTTTCTAAGCGAGCGGAGATGACTTCCAGCAGAGAGACAGACGACGGGCACATTTGTGCAGAGACTGGGCAGTAAACACAGGAGCCGCCTGAGAGAATCCGTGCCAGCAGGTGTTCTTCACAGAGATCAGCTGGTGTTTGAACTAATGGAAGCTCATCCGATATGTGCACTCCGTCTCTCTTTCACTTCAGTTCGTCTGAGCGGGCGGCGGCGGCGTGTGGGCGACTGGAATTATCAGCTCCTGCAGAGAAGCCAAGCGTCCTAATTTAACACCTCGTGTCCCACACAGAGCTCCTTTATTGATTTATCACCTTCTGATCCCTCACGCTGCAGGGAGAGGTTTCTTCTTCTGTGGTTTTTGTTATGACTCCCTCAGTCTGACCTTGTTTGGTCTCTAAAGATGGTTTAGGACATTTAAGGCTCGTGTTAAAATAAACACAGAAGAGCTCAAATCATTTCATCAGGATATTTTTAATAAGCAATCTCCTCACATGTGTAAGCTAAAAGAAGTTAGCAAAACTGTTTAATGCTAACGCAGACAGATATATATATATTTTATTTGTACTTTACGCCTTTTAAAGTCCTTTATCTGTAAGAAACATCAGCACAAAGCACTCTTATGCCAAATAAATTAAGTTTTATCATGTTTTTTTTAACGACTTTCCATCCCAATGCATACTTCCTGATGCCCATTTTAACTCCATGTGTCTTTGGAATCACGAGTGTAAACTACCCCTCGGAGTACTAACCTGTATAAACAGGAAATGACATTGTGAAAACGCTCTCTCTTGATCCGAAGCCCTTCTGCGTCCCACTTCCTCCTTTACTTGACACATGGTTGTTGTTCAGGATTTTGATTTAGTTTTTTACTTACTTACTTTGTTTTTTTTTTATTTGGGGGGGGGGTTAATACCTTTATTTTAGAGACAGGCAGTGGACAGAGTCAAAAATCAGGGAGACAGGGTGGGGAGTGACATGTGGGAAGGGAGCCCCTTACATGGGGCGCACTAACCACTAGACTACCAGCGAGCCCCCTTACTCTAAGTTTTTAGGTGTTTTTTTTAAATGTTTTTGCAATAAATGAAATGTTTCACCTACTGAAGTGTTTTTGTGTTCTGGGAAACGTTTTGCAGTTGACCTTCATGACCCCCACATGGAAAGTCTGAAGTACTGACTGAACACCTTAGCATACGCTGAAACATAAAATACATTTTCAAACACAAAAACTGTCGGCTCAGTTTCACTCAGAGCAAAATAGAAACATAATATTTTCTCAGATTCAGTTCTGTTTTTCTCTCAGGTGGAAAATCTGCTGCTGGGGTCTAAATCACAAACTCATTGTCATGTTGTCCACCCTGAAATAAGAGCACACACACACACACACTGACTCTTCCATTAGCAGCCTGTGGCGGTTAAGTGGTGGAAGTAATCCCCACTCACTCGATGCTCGTGCTCCATCTCTGTCTCCCGCTCACTGATGGAGAAAATCAGATCAGGGTTCAGTTGTTTCTCGTCGCAAACACAATTTATTTTATTTTCACGGCATAAAGCTGCGGATGTAAATGAGACAATGACACCTGAGCGTGGCGAGAAAGAAGGCGGCTGCTTTACTTAAACATGAAGCAGACTGAGTGTGGAGTTAATCCTCCTGAAAGCTCTCCACCATCCATTAGAGTAAGAATAACCCTGTTTATTAATACACTGAAAACACACAGAGAGTCGCTCAGCTGCATGTCTAATGCTCTCTGACATGTTCATGAGGAGAGATTATCAGAAATACACACCTGGATTTTATAGCTGTTAAAAGTGTATTGTTTTATGTTGTTATATACTGCAGATAAAAATGATTTTTAACATTATAATCCTCCAAACGCACACACTTCACCTTTGGTTCCCAACCTGGGGACTGGGCCCTCCTAGGGGGGGCGCCAGAGATCTCAGGGGGGGGGGGCGAGAGGCTATGAGGTTGTCAAAATATCGTTTTGCAAATATTAATTAAAATCCATAGATTGTAAATATTAACAAAGCCTGAGTGACGTCACCCGTCTGTTCCTGCAGGGGGCGCTGGAGTCCCATCGATGGCGGTCTCCGTGCTGGAAATGCTGTCTCAGTCTAACTTTCGGTCAACCTAACAACAGGCTGAGAGCTGGAGCTGAGGCGGGTTTTAAACCTCCTGACAAACCGTTACACCGCTCCCACCTGGCAATCAGGTCAACTTGAAGCTTTTGTTCAAGCTGCTCTGAAATCCATTTTGTTTTATATGTTCAACAGTCTTAATATGATGTTTCTGACGTCAGCCATTAGCAGGAAATAACAAACAGACAGCCTGTGAGAGCTTTTGGAAGGAGGAGGGGCTCACGGCAGCACCCGCTGCTCGTTGAGGACAGTAACTGCAGAGCAATACGTGCTTTCACGTCAGTGTCTAACACCAACAAAGGCTCCAATAACACCAGAAAAAGTCGCTAGATTTGTCACTAGTAGCTGTTGACAAAAAAAGGTCGCCAAAGGGGTTTGGAAAGTCACCAGATGAACGCTCTGGTGACTTTCGCACACACACACAATGTTTTACATGTGATAGTAAACTTTAATGACAACAAGAACAAGAACAAGAACAAGAACAAGAACAAGAACAAGAACAAGACCAACAACAACAACAACAACAACTCTGTCCCAGGTCAATGACCGGCGCACGTCAGGCAGTATGCGAGCGCGCAGCCTCTGCACACGTATCTGTCGCAGCCGCGGCACACTGTGTGCGTTTTGCTGTCCTTTTTAGGTGGACATATCTGACAGCTCTTCCTCTTGCTCGCCCACAACGGGGCCCAGGGGACGTTGCCGGCCCCGTCTCGGTCCTGGTTCCAGTTCCCTTCTCCGGTTCCCTTCGCATCCACCAACGCTGCTGCGGGGAAACGATCCCGCCGCCGCCGCCGCCTCCTCCCTCTCCTCCCTCGACAGCCACGTGGCCCTCACGAGCGCCGCGGACGCTTCTGTGCGGGGCTCACGCTCCCTCCGCTTCTTGTTTAATTATTTTGTTTCTCCTCGGTGTCGGTCTCGGTCCCGGTCACCTTCCCGTTCTCCTTCTTGTATATTCTTACTCTTATTTTTATTTTTTTATCTTTTCCTTTTTTTCCTTTTTCGCATCGCCCCGGGAAAACGCAGGACAGACAGCGGGAGGGGTCTCGGTCACGGTCTCGGTCACCTTCCCGTGCTCCTTCTCGTATATTGTTATTTCGTATATTCTTATTCTTTCCTTTTTCGCATCGCTGGCCCGGGAAGCGGAGGACAGCGGGAGGGTTATGTTTGTGTTAAGTACTGACGGATAATTACTACACAAAGTTTGTTTTTTAATGTTGACATTTACGTGGAGTATAACATTCATCATAATGTCAGCTAACCATATTTACAGTCTACGGTTAACCACCGAGGTGAACCTTTAGCTTCTAACATCACACAAACTAATTATTTTCAACATCTTAACAAACATTTCTAACAATTCAGAATACATTTTTCCCCAGTTTAATAGTGCTGGCTAGATATGTTAACATTAGCATCTTTAGCATGAATGGGAGTCTTGATCAGCTAAACCATTGACCGTAAATAATGGGCTTCACTGAGTACAGTTAGCCGACTTGTTTACAAGCTAACGCCAAACAAGCTAGGTCTGTAAATATAAATACTGACACATGAGGATGCAGTAAATATAACACTACTATATCACTTTCCGAAAAAAACTGAAGCATCAACTTCTTGGATGGTCTGTTAACCGCACAGCAAGCCATGTATGTTGTCAGATATGTGTTAAGCAAACTCTCCAAATGAAGTAAAAAAGAGGAGAAATCAGACGGATCAAGCTGCTACCCACGTCCGGTGCTTCTGCAGCCAGCCTCAAGCGGAACTTCGAGGAACTGCAGTTTTTTTTACTTCCGCATTGGCTTCAGTTTTCGAGACCAGAGGTTGCCCCTTGCTTTTTTTGCCCATTTAATTAGTGGTTAAAAAACGATTTATACATGTAAAAAGTAACATATAGAACCA